CCTAAATCCAAAACACAGCACTGTACCAGCTACTAGGAAGGAAATTAACTCTATCCCTGCCGAAACCAGGACAAGAGGTTAAGTCCCTTCATCACGCTGGGCTGAACTTCTCTTCAAAAATGGGTACTTTTAACTGATTTAATCTCTGAGTCATAGCTCCAGTTTGTCACTGTGTGGGTACTTAAGGATGGGCCTGGCAAACTTCTGCACTAAGGTCTGCTTCTGAGGTCCTGCTGTCCTGCATGTTTGCAAATCCAGAGCAGGGAACCAAGCTGGGTGCCAAGGTGGCCACAGACAGGGGAAGGTAAGAGAAAAACAGAGGCCAAAAAAGCAGCTGAGAAGGTGACTTAGTATTTAAAAGAGCATTTTAGCTTTGAAAAAGTGGGGATTGGTGGGAGGAATGGGGAGTGTGGGATGGTGTCACCCCCCCACCACCACTTTTTGAGCAGCACTTCCAAGCAGGCCCTTTTCCCTCCAGCATGAGCAGTAAGAAGGACTGAAATTGGGATCTGTGTGCCTATCGCAGCCTTCCGAGCCCGTTGGAGTTTCTTGCTGTACGCTGAATCCAGAGCTCCTCCTGGAGGTCTGTGGAGTCCAAGCCCTGCCGCTGGTGGAGCTCGTCGCTGCTGCTTGGCACAAACAGCAGTGCACCAGGCACTTCAACAACCCTATATACATATAGGGTATATGTAATAGGTAATTATAGGGTAGGGTAATATAGTAACCTTACATATATACATACATAGGCAGTCCTAGCTGACTTCAGTTAGTTCAGCAGCTGCACCAAGGTCCCTTTGGCAAGCTGAATCCAATCACAAAAGTAACAATAATACATCTGAATATATTTACATATTAAATATATCTGAAGACTTACATGCCTCCTAAAGTGCACATTTTATTTTTTGAGGAAAGGGTGCTAAACTCAGTGTGGAGCGGGGTCCACGTAAATCCTATTTGAACTCACAAAACACTCCTCACCCAGTAAGACAGTATGTCTTTGAAAGCTGATGTCATACCAATGAGAGGTATTCCCATACCTACATGGGAAAAGACCGCTAGCTCAGACCCATTAGCCTCCCACCTATTTTATTAAATTTAGCTCACTTACACACCGCAGATCCTCAATTTAGACACACATTGCCATTCAAGTCTAGGAGAATGAGATGCCTACTCTTTGGGAAAGCCAGCTGAATGGGTACCTACACAGCCCTGCTGCCTTAAAAACAGCCTGAGTAACGCCGGCTGGTGAGATGGCACAGGGGTGTAAGGGGGTTGGGTGAGTGGATGCCCAAACTGTCTGAGAGGGCCTTTGCCCAAAGCTCACCTTGCTAAAAAGGGAGACAACAATCATCAGCTGTATTAGATAGCAACCGGGGAATTACCAGGAGACTTTCAGTTGTGGGGCGCGGGGGGAAGTCAGCTAAGCAGACATGAAAACATGAGGATGTGGAGTGTGCAGGAGAAGAGGGGAGCAGGGCAGCAGAGGGGCCGGCGTGACCCTGCCAAACGCAGCCACCCTAGTTATACAAAGATGTTCAGAAACTTCTAGGCACATATTAACATTCCGTAACTATATTGTCTAGCTTTATCTGTTGCACTGCAGATATTGATCCCAAGTGTATAGTTCAGCAGTAGCCAGTTAATTACACATTGATAATAAAACAATAAACCACTTAAACTGCGATCAGCCACATGAACCAGGCAGGTTGTAGGTTTTCCCTACAACATACATCTGACTGATGCATTGGTGGGTCTTGCAACTGTCCCCGCAGTGGGGATAGATGTGAGAAAATATGACAGCTACGTAAGATTAGACTGGTGACAGTTGGCATTTCTAAAGATGTTCAAGCTAGTCCCTGCTGTTAAGTAATTTTTGAGAGTAAAGCTTCCTCCTTATGTTTCTAAGAAAAGATATCATAAAATAATTTAGGCTCTACATCATGTAAAACTGTGAGATTTTCTCATCAGAAATATTCCCTATACATGCCCATCCTCTTCTTCCACCCCCTTCTCCCCCCTCCAACAGCTGTATACACAGCAGGCACATGTGTGTACCGGAACAATTCCTTGACATTTTGTGATGAAGCCTTTAGGCTTTACAAAGAGGCAAAGATGAGCTGCCCAAGCAATTGAACCCTTTCCAGACCAGATAATGAATGATGGTCTTAAATCACTGCTCCAACACTTTATCCATATGTGTAAATATACACGTGTGTGTGTGTACATAAAATGTGAGATACTATACACACACTCACTTTAAGGAGATTCTAATGAGATGCATGAAAAAAATGCATTATCTTATTTGTTTCAATTCATCCTTGCCTATAGTAATTTTTCTTTTTAATGTTTAAAAGACCTGACCATTCTTCCTTTCAACTAAGGCCTGGAAAGTGAAATACACACATTTCTGAAACAATGAAGAGATCTTCTGGGCAGAAAAAAAAGTAGGTATTCGGGGCATATTAAAATAAAAGAATCTCTTGCAACACAACTGTTAAGTGTAAAGGAATGCAGCCCAAACACCACAGCATACACTGGGGTTTTTTTGTTTGATTGGTTTTTTAAACCAAATCACCTTTGAAGAATTCTTGAATTCTAACCTGATGTTGAAAGATTAATATATTAAAAAATGTTTCAAAAATATCCTCACATCCTCTAAAGAGCACTGTATCCTAATGACAGTGTAAGGAGAGTACTTACAGTTTTGCCTGGTAGGAAAATAAATTTAATACAATGAAATAACACAAATATGACACCAAAGTATTTATTTACAGCACATATATATATAAATCCTTTTTACTTTTTATTAATCTATTTTCCCCCTTTTAAAGCTATCCAGATTAAAAGTGTCCAAGCCTGTTAAGAGAACAAAACATTCTCAAAATAAATAAGAAACAAGAAAGGAAGTCAGCTATAGTGCACCATCTGCTGCCACAGTCCTCTCGTAAAGTATGTTCCAGTTAATAGAGAGTACGTTTACAGTAACACATTGACACCACTCACTCTCGTCTGCTTACATACTAAACAAACACCATCTTGGCATGAAGAGAGACCGATGTTCAAAAAAGGAAGAGCCATTTGTCCCAGCGCCATCTGAATTTACACAGGAAAGAGCCACCTCCTCAGCTGAATTAAATCCCTAGAACCCCTTTGCTTTTGAAGAAAACCAGTCATCTACCATCTCCCAAACCAATATGGCAACAAGCACTTCAGTTCTGGAGGTCCATACTGTATTTTGGTTTGTGGACACGACTATAGTACTTCTGAGTATAGCTTCACCAACCACACGTGTCCTAGCCTGTGAATTGCTATGGGACTCTGTCCTCCAGAATCACCAGCCACTACACACAAGCTTTTAGAGAAGCTCACCCAAACGACCAGTTTTTCTTCACCCTTCAGAAATTTTGTTCCTAAAGTACCTGGTCTGAAACCAATAAGCTGAAGACACCTGAAGATTCCCAGGACCAACACTTGGCCAAAACATTGCTGGAGGTCAGCAGTCAGACGCTAGCTTGCGAAGGAGAAAACCTTCCCTAGGACTTTTTTCCCCCTGCAGGGTGTTCACATGGGAAGTTCTTGCACAAAAACTGCAGGTCCACATCTTCCAAAGCAAACTTAAAATCACTTTAGTTTCAAACTGGAAGCTTAGAGACCTACTTTCATTAGGTTGTGGAGCATTTTAAATATGCTAAGTACTACGTAAGTGCCAAGTATTGGAAAACTACTAATTTAACCAAGGACAGATGCTAGAAACCAACTTTTCCAAGCTAAGCACAGGACTATGTTGGCATGGCCTCACATTTAGAAATACCAGATGTGTCCACAAGCACATGGCCAGCCTCGCATGGTACGCTAATACCTTCTATACCCAATTCATAGACTTGCATAGGCTGCATACCTTGAAAACAGGATTCCAGCCAAGAGGATTAGCAAGTGGATTCTAAATAACTCAGAATATTTCTTATTTTATTAAATATGCCTGCTTTCAGCTGGCATCTCATCCTGAATTTCAGCAAGCATTAAAACTGAGTAACATTCTGCTAGTGTTTGGTTTCCTACTGAGAGTTCAAAATATATTTTTAAATTTAAGGCAGGTCTTTAGGTTTTGGGGTTTTTTTTAAAAAAACAAAGAATTGAATAGTTCCAGGTTTTCTCTACTCTCAACAGAAAGGGAGAATTTTCCTGGTACCTCCAAACTTTGGGACAGAATTAACACACTTACTTTCTTCCAGTAGGAAATTTATCCGAAGTAAAGTGACAAGGCTTGATTCTCCTTTCATATGGATGCAAACCAAAAGCAATTCCACTACCGAGTATGACAAAGTCCTGAAAAACTGAATCTCTCCACAGGGTTTGTGTATTTTGGGTTTCATCTATGGAACTCAACTTGAAAAGTTCTGAGCATGCCAGCACGCCGTGTCCAGAAACACACATTAGTTTATGCTTAACCTAAAATCCAATAAGCCGGAGCCTATTGTAGCCTATTGAAGCTAAACACCCAGCAAGTCACAGGCTAAAGCCCACAGGAGAAGGGGTCAGTCTTCTGTTGCTATAGATCTACAGAAACCAGGTCTCCCACTATTCCCCAAGTGGTTCAATCACCAGTAAATTTAAATTAATTTGAAAACAAGAAACCTAGATCAATGTGACTCTGCTTCCCACATCCCTAGGAACTCCACAGTGTTTTACTATTTCCTTGTGATTGACAGCAGGCTACTAGCATAGAGCTTAAGTCTTATTTAATAAAATTTATTAGTACAAAGCAGCCTATTTAATTTTTGTTTTGTATTTGAACAGTGATTTCTCTATATACGTAGTACTTCAGCACTCAGAATGGCATTTGTTCCTTAAGCTAAAAAACTGTCAGTTGGACAATAACACGTCAACTTTACAAGTAATTCAGAATCAGCTTTTAACCAGGGTTAGAAAGGCATTTCAAATACAACATGGTGGTATTATTTCCATTCAGAAACTGAATGAGAGAAAAGAACTGAATGCTCAGAAATTAAAATTTTTTTGAAATTGTATAATTAAAAAAATGCGTTACTAATTCCTTTGAGGATGGGTATCATCATACAAAGTAAAGACTCACCCTAGAAGACACAGTGGAGGAGAAGAACACAGGAAGGTCAAATCTCTTCTGGATTTTTTACAGGGTTAACGGAAATCAGTTTTGTTTGGCAGGCATCTGTAAGAACTTGGACATTTCATTTTCCCCAATCAGTGTAAAACTGTTCTTTAACTGAGTTGGAAATAGTTCAAAATATGATTCAAGTTGACCTATAGGAATGCATGGGATATTCTGGCCAAAGTAAAACAAAACAGAAAACCTATCCCACTTCAAAAAAATCTACAGAAGAGTCTCCTCTTAATATCTAGGACACCAGAAGTTGCTCCAGGCAGACTCTTTAAATCTCCATGCCCAAATGAATGGCTATTAGCTGTTGGCCTCAAAGGAACTTGCAAGTCAGGACATGTATAAAGCTGTTTTGCTAACATTCAAATAGTCTGAACCAAATAACCCTCCAGGATAGGGCCTTGATGACTTATTGAACTTTTTCATTTCAACAATGAATCCAGCTGTGTGTATAAGTGAGGCACACAGGTTTTACAAACCAGCAAGATATAGTAAGACATTACCTAATAAAAACTGATACTAATAACAAAACAAATCTCTCGCCAAGGCTGAAAAAAAAAAACCTTTGATGCTTGGAGGTTTTGGCAACTATTGCATTTTTTTGTTTGTTCGTTTTTAAATTACTTTTGTAATATGGAAGCAACACTACTTCTTAGCAAGATTGGCCATAAAAAAACCCAGCCTGTGTGAAATGCAACCACACTAAATCGGTACGGTTATAAAACAGCATTACAGCTCTAATGTTCAGTGTTATAAAAAGACCATGCTCTTATGAAGCCCAGGCAGCCAGCTGCTTCATTTCATCTTCATCCTCTGCTCTTTTCCTGGTCGATGCTGCAGAGAAAGAGAGATTAACAATAACCATCAACTAATGTAACAGTCAGAACCATTTTATTCGTTAGCATGAGGACTTGCATAGTGCTTTTCAGTCTGAAGATCTCGGATCAATGTACTAAGTAGCAAGCTAAACATAGGTAATGCAGTAATGAAGCTATGAGAAATGCGACTATTTTGCCCCACCATTATCCCACATATAACCCTGAGGTTAATAAGATAGGTCTGATGTAACTCCTACTGAAAGACTCCCGCAGAAAACACATTTAATCTCTAAAAGCTGTCACAGAGAGCAAATGTCCACAAGAATGCTGCCAGTTCTCTCACCACCACTTGAGTGGGCACGAGTGATCTACCCCTGGCCATCTGTGCATCATGCTACCTTTCCAAATAGTGCTGAAGAGTTCTGCAGGTGCAGGATCAGTCTCCAAATGGACTCACCCCATTTTAATGAGAGGTGCCATTTATTAAAAGGGAGAAAGCAATTCCTGAACTTACTTTGTTCAGGTTACATCAGTTAACTGCTGTGTTCACAGCAACAGCAATGCCCAGCTCTGTACCAGGTCCCACATGCACTTTCTCTCTTTTTTTTTTTTTTTTTTTTACCCAAATCTGTCACACATCTTTCACATTCACTGAACTGAAACCTCACCCAAATAGTCTTCATTCACTGACCTACAAACTGGATGCCCTACAGCCCAGGTTCAACCTCAGGCTGTCTCCACCTGTGGGCTGTGCATGTCAGGATTTGCATTCCTCCAAACATCAGTGGAACACTGTTACTGGGTGCAACACCCTTGTGTGTACGTTTACAGCAGCCAGTTGGCTCACGCCTGTGGCAGCCGTATGGCTGGGGGCCACCATCTTGAGAGGGGCTGCAACTACCACCTTTGGGAATTAAAGGTGGGAGAAGGACATGGGAGACCAGGGGTCCAGTCCCTACTCTGCAAGTGCCACTGGCTTACTGTGCAACTGAGGAAGGTCACTATGCCTTGCTCCATCTCAGTTTCCTCATCGCTAAAATCAGGAGGATAACATGCATCTCCAATTAGAAGCATTCTAGAACCATTAACTGTTCTTATTTTGCTATTGCAGTGTAACAGTAAGCACTGAGTTTCAGAAAAGATGAGCCGGTTTTGCAAGGCCTTAAACTATATAATTATAACCAGCTAATTTTGCCTGAAGCAGCCATACAGACAGATGAAGTAGCAAATTAAGATAGTGATAAGCACATGGAGATGGCCTGGGTTTAATAAAAATGTCAACTGGCACAGCTGGATCTGGAAGAGGATGTATGAACAAGCCATAAATGCCCAGACTGCATTTTTCTTTTTTTACTAGCTGTTCTGCAATTGACTTCAGTAGATGAGGCCACAATCCCAGTTTGAACACTGTAAACTGCTTCTCAGGATTTAAGTGCCATCTGCCAAAACACACGTTAAGAGTCTCTGAGCTGAGCTGGTCTAGGTAACCTGTTCTGCAGCAGAATGCACCATAAACAGCCTGTGTCACATGTGTCCTGTCCTTACCACCAAATATTTATACTCTTTTACTAGCATCAGTACACAGCAAGTCTTTCAGCTGATAGAGGACAACAGGGACATGGTGAAAGGTGTAGTAAAAATTGACCGTTTCTGGCTTAATTCAAAATGAACAGGGCAGAACTACAGAAAAATAAGACTACTGCTTAATACCAGGAATAAGTCTGTTCTGTAGAAAGAAAGCAAAGGAATGACAATATTTCTTTAAATGTGTACTTCCTGCTGCCTCCTTCATTTCTAATTAAAATACCAGTGGCAAATATCAAACCACTACCCTACAAAGCTGGATCTTTGTGACGCAAACATTTTGAATCTAGGTCAGACTCTAATTAAAAAAGACTAAGGATTTAATTGCCAAAAAGAAAAAAAAAAGTCTTCCCATTCCTCAGTGATCTCACTGCATTTCAGTAGGAGATGCATCAGTATATGTGCAAGGTCAAGTTCCCTGAGTTTGTCTCCTCAAATCTACAGAGAATTTGATCCTAAATGCTTTCATACAGCAAACCAGAATTCCACTCTGCTTTTTCTGATAAACAGATACAAAAATAGGAAAAGGAATCTATAATACTTTAAAAGTTAAAACAGAGCTAAATACATATTTGGAACTCTATCTCCCTCTCCTCCTTCTCACAGCATGGCTTAATCATGAGAAATGTAAAATGGCAAGCAGGCAGTTTACCAGGGCGAGAAGGCAGCGATGTGGACGGAACACTTGGCAACCTGACATCTCTCATTCCCTTGTTCAATTCTTCTTGCTCCAGTTCTTCTAATTCTGCCATCAACTCATCCTAAATTCAAGGAAAACATTATTTACAAATTCATTGTCCTGACAGTGATCTCAGGCAAGGGCACATTTAACCACCATGAAGCAAAGCACTACTGAAAAAAAACAGTTCACACCTGAAAACAAATATTAAAAAACAGCATATCACAAGTATAATTTTTACTAAATGTGGGTGATAACAATAAACTTTAGTTGAAAGAAAGACAATAATAGTTAGAAACGGGACAAGGAATAAAATTAGAAAGAAAACTGATGGCAGCATAATACTTGTCAAAAAGGCAAACACAAGAAAAACAAAAGGTCCCTCTGCCATCCTTAGGTTTGTTCCCTGTACCCTTTAACAGATTCTAATTTTAATGTGCGATTTCTCCCATTTTAAAAAGCAAACAGCTTCCACTGCTTATAAGGTAGACTGTCATTAAACATTATGCTTCAGCCATATCACACAAGTCCAGGATTATATATGATTTCAAAGCAGCGCTGAATCAGAGCTGTCCTCCTGGGTCCTGTTATTCACTCTTGGAGCACATAACACTCTTGGGCTTTTAGCTGCAGAAGCTGATTTGGACAGATGATCTAATCCACTTGTTTAATACTAAAAATAAAAAGGCTATACATTTTTTAAAAAAGCCACAGACTTATTCTTTGGCTGGAGTTTCCCAAAGAAAGGAAGCTAAATATTACATATTTGTAGAGAAATTCACCTTTGCCACATTGATAAAATGGTTTACAAAGAAACAATGGGCAAAAGTGGCTGGGGAAAAAGTGGCTGTAGCAAAGTGAGATCTACTAGGTATTGAAATGGGCTTTGCCTACCCATTTATACCTTGCTTATCACCAACACGGAAGTTAAAATAATTACATAGCCACCACAGGCCTTCCTAAACTTACTTTCTCATGGTTTTATATTTTAAGGCCAAAAAAAGGCTACAGTTTGCCTACCTGACCTAGTTCACAATGCAAATCCTAGGATATCATCTAAAAATTTCAGCATCAGGTGAAACACCTGATGATGTTCAATTCACAGTTGATCTCAAGGAAATGTACGAGTTGGGGCCCAATGTCTAACTTAGGCACTTAGCTGAGGTGCAAATGTCTGTCCTTTAAGGGCCTCAGTCAGTGCTGTGAATACAAGCTTCTTAAAAAGTTAGTGCCCAAGTTGTTGCAAAGTCAATGGAAAGAGGTATTTCTGAAGACCTCTAGATGGTCATCTAACCCTCTCCCACACCAAATTAGTCCTTGCCAACCTCTGCTGAACAAGTAAACAACTAAGTGGTAGTGTCAGCCATGACAGGCTCTCTTTAAAAGAAAAGAAAGAAAAAAAAAAAAAAGGGTAAAGGATACCGTGATCATGACCCCTACACCTTTAACAAAATAATGTAATGGCTAGAACATTGTCTCTCGAAGTGGGAGACTCAGTTTTAAGTTCTTCTCATCCTCAAGCATGGATTTAACTTATATTTCCCACAGCTCAGGTAAGTGGTATCAGCCCATGCCGGGCTCTTTTTAAAAAAAAAGAAAAAAAAAAAAAAAGGGTAAAGGATACCGTGATCATGACCCCTACACCTTTAACAAAATAATGTAATGGCTAGAACATTGTCTCTCGAAGTGGGAGACTCAGTTTTAAGTTCTTCTCATCCTCAAGCATGGATTTAACTTATATTTCCCACAGCTCAGGAATTGCTCTACAGCTAGGCTGTGGAGTATTGCAATAGCTGTAACAAATCCCCTTTCTCCCTCTTGAACCTAGGCCAAAAAGAGAGCAGAGGGAAGATGTCACGTGAACTCTCAGGTTCCAGGCTCTGTCCACTGGAATGTGTGTATTTTGCATTTGGTCATCAGAAATAGGCCTCCAGGCAAGGATCATCCCTCCCAGTGAGCATCCTACTCAGGTAGGACAGAGCTTTTGTGCATTCTTCATGGCATACACTGTGTCAACCCAGGGAGAAAGAACCCTTATGTTTTTGTGTCTATCTGGATCAATAGAAATTACACGCTTCCATGATCTCCTTACACCCGTGGCACACATGTGAAGAGGAAATCCAAGTGTGTGGTCAAAATGTCCTTCAGAAAAATAAAATTAAGTATCATCCTGCAACACAAATCACCTCATAACCCAGCAATTAAGTCATTGATTCTAGCGCTCTTAAACTGAAGTGGCCTGCAAACCAGGTTTCCCACTTACTGGACAAGTGCTATAAGTATTAGGCTCCTATGCAAAGGCAGATGCTGGTACAATGATGCCCCATGTGACAGTGGCTTATTTTCCCAGAACCGGAAACATGACCATCAACTTAGACTAGTATCTCTTAGGAACTTCCAGGTTAATCTACAACACACTTACTAAATCTAGGCTCCTAAAAGTTAAGCACTGATGAAAAATAAGGGACACTGTATAGCTGTTAGGGGTGGCACTATGTTTTTCAGTTGTTTGAAGCCCAGTTTATACAGGCTAAATCCCATTCCTTGTGCCAGTACTGATTAAATGTTTCTTGAAAAGTCTACTTACATTCGAAGTGGAAAAATAGGAAAGCAGATAATGGGAACAAAATACAAGGAATCATTACTATTTTCAACAAATTATAGCTACTGAATGAAGTTATATGAATCTGCTGAACTCCTCCCCCCCCCAGTCAAGCAAATATGATATAGCCTATGTATTTTTCTTTGTTGTCCATTTGGGCACATAGGAATGAATTAGTTGCGGAGGGAGTGAATTGCTTGATTCTTTAGGACATTCTTCAAATGATCCCTAGCGCTTGGTCGTTTTAAAACATAGTTAAAAACCAAAACCAAACTGGTTGTGATACTGAGCCTGATCCCCAGCTCTGCATTCCACAGATTGCAAGAATTTTGAGTATACTTGACCCTTGAGTCCTCAAGCCATGGCTGGATCAGAAATAAGTAATGCCCTGCTTAGATACACAAAATCAAGTCCAGGGACACTGGATGAAAGCTACTGCAACAAATTATCAGAAGGTCCTAAGTGCCTTGTGGGGGTTTCAGAAGAAAAGAGCTGAAGGAAGAAACCTTATTGCCTCCAACAGGAATTACTGCTACCTAATGGATCCACTTCTGGAGAAAAGCTGGAAAACAGGGAAAGGACCTGCATCTCCAAGCACCAAAAACAACCTTAAAAAACTGGTCCAAACATTCAGAATTGTGAACAGCAGCCTGCTCGTGGCATAGGAACATGCACTTAGTCAAACGGATGTCTATTTGGAGCACAAAAAATTATATGTTTCAATGTCCACTTGGAGCAGTACAAATTACATGTTTTAGTGACCTCCTCCTTCCATGGTACAAATGAGAATAACAATTACCGGAGTGCAGTTAAAATTGCCTTTCTTAAAGTTTTTATATAAATAAAAAATATTTTTATATTTTACATATATATTTTTATGATATTATATATATTAATTTTATTTTTTAAATATATAAATTATAAAAATGTCCTGGATAGGGTAAGCTAGAACCAAGGAATTTCACATCCACACCTTTTGAGAAGCAAACCACCGGAACAAGCCACTGCACAACAAAATAACTACGGAGTCATGTAACAGCTAAAACTCACAGGCCTGAAGTACTAACCTCATCAAACTCATCACCAAAGGCGGCTCGGTTTGAGATAGCGTCCGAAATTTCCTGGGCAACATCTTGCTGTTCAGTGATATCTTGCATCAAATCATCAATTTTGTTCAAGTCCCTGGCAAGACAACATGGAAACATTTTTTAAAGACAGATCACTCAAATCCTACAGAAGACACTCAGAAAAACTTGAGCAGACCCTATTTTCTTTTTATGCCCATGGCTGTATAAACAGCAGAACTCACAGGGAATAGTTTCCCTCACCTAACACCTTAATGTTTCCCGGCAAGCTCCTGTGTGTTTTAGCCAGTCCAATTTCTTCCACTTTGGGATTATAACAAAAGTCAAACTGCAATAGTCTGTGTCTCCCTCCCTCTCTGTGCTTCTCATACTTCCGCCAGCCAACAGTCACATCTCCTGGGCAGATCCCATCTCCTTCCCGAGGTCAGCATCTTTACGGATGGATATTTTTTGATATTAAGCTTTCACCAGAACTGAGGGGAACTTAACAGGACTATACCCAATTTAAAAGCTTCCCCTTATTGTTAACTTCATTATTGTTTCAGTTCCTGTTTACTTCTCCCAGAACAACCTTTCTGATTTAACTCTGTTTATTCAGGCAGGAAAATGCCTCATGAAACAATATAGGACATATAAAAAATACTACACGGACAAAAAAATTACCATCTCTTTTATTCAGGTCTAATTAGTACTTTGAATCACATAGTCCAGCTTATGGACTTTGAGGAAAAGAGTGCACTTAGTTTCTTCAACTAAGTTTTCTTCTGGAAAAACCAAGGGCAGGGGCCAGTTTCCACTCCCAAGGCAGACTTAAAAAACCCAAAACAAAACAGGTACCATATAGATCTCTCTAGTTACGTGGACCTCCTTCTAGACTCGCTGTTAAGAAAAGATATTTTTCTGCCAAAAATAACACTACAGCACCAATAGCATTCCTGACATTAAATGCCTGAACCAAAAATGAAGTCAAAACTGGCTGACTTGATACAATAGTCTGTAGCGATGAACCATTTTGAAAGTGGTTAGCAAGCTCAACTTGAAAGCTATTAGAAAGCACTTACATATTTTCATGTACTTTTTTCATAGCTTGTGCAGCATAACCCATATTCTTTAGCACTTCTGTGTTGGTGTGGGAATTTTCCAATGCCTCTCTCTGGAACTCAATGGTCGAAAGTGTCCCATCAATTTGATTCAACTGTTTCTCGTATCTCTTTTTTCTCTTCAGTGCTTGTAAGGCAGCTGGAATGGGAAGAGGCAAAGTGCACTGTGTAATTTCATAGCAAAACGCAAGGACAAGTAGTTCAGCACCAAGCCAACCTGCGGAATTTATAATTCCCACTCTCCTACCTTACTAGTAGGGAGCCAAACTTTGACCACACCAGATCAGCAGCCTCTTTATCACCAACATGCCGTTGCATGAACATGCTGGGAAGCCTCTTTTAGATTAACTCCTTTTAGCACCACAGGGAAGAGCAGCTTCTTCCTCCACTGTGGGAGATCTTGAACTCCATCCTGTGCACGCAGGCAAAGCAGGGAAGATGGGAGGAAAAAGAAAAACATCAGAGAGAAGTCACAAAGGAGGAAACAGGGGAAAGAAAGAAAAGAAGAGATTGCAAAACATAAGTAAAAGCTAAGGAAGACAGCGTAAGAAGATCTGTCATGATAACCACACCTCCACCAATGCTGCTTTCTAAATTTCGTCTCAGCAGCAGAGGTGCAAGGGAAAGCCCAAATGGCCTAACCAAGCAGGTGGGTTACATCAGGGGAGGACTCACATTTCTCCGGCTTTCAGCTGCATCTATTTCTTACAATCACTTCGGAGCATGATTTTTAAACCTTAGAACTTGAAAACATATAGAATTTTGTAGACATGGCCACAGTCAAATCCAGTTACTCCCCATTATCTCTGTAACCGTTGAGATTGGTCTTTTATATTTGCTAAGTTATGAGCAGCATACTTTGCCCAGAGTAAATCATTACCAGAATAAACGCATGTGACGAGCAGGAGGAGAATAGGGCTTTCTCTCAGCCTCTGGGTGTGGAACACACACAATCTTGCCACAAGCATTTCCTGACCACTGTCCTTTCCAAACTACACATGTGCCAGGCAATAAAAAAAAACAAGCAAAACCAAAAGAGACTGAGTTAACCCATTGCTTTTTCAATGCTATTAATACCCGTGTCCTTTCCCTTGTCTCCTACATTTAATTTTTAAATCAGGTTCAGAGCCAGCAAGCAACTGCAGCCCCCCAAACTGAAACAACTGCTAGCAGCGATTACTGTTGCTGTCCCATTCAAATAATTGCCCACATGCAATGAAGTCAGGATCCCTCCAAGGAGGGGGCATAGATTTATGGTGTGTAACAGCACACTAAAAAAATTAAGTGCTTTGTTGACAAATGCTTGAATCAACATGGTCGAAATTGCTCATCATCAGCTGCACAAGGACAAGCATTCACACAGGCTAAGATACACAATGCCTTCTAGCACCTGCAGTGAAACGTTTCAGGACAGCAAACCACAAGCTCAGCAGATTAATCACAGTATTCAAATTCAAGATTTTTGCAGGTTTTGGGGGATGGTCCAAAGATCATGCATATTCTGAAAAAGATTCATGAACCCCAGATGATGTCATGCAAATGGCAAATGTGAGAACTGTACAATTCTCATTGGCAATTCCAAAATACATCAGTTTGGCTTAATGCCAAATAATCCTTTTACCTGCTTATTATTTCCCTACTTATTTATGCTTATTATTGGTAGCATTAGGACACCAGCCACTCCCTTCCTCAGCTTCAGTTGAATCAAAATTTGATCCTGGATTCTTAGGTTAGGAAGCCAGAAATTCCAGGTAAATTTAATGGTCTGAAACTGTGCATAACACCAGCTGTGCCAGAGAAGACTCTAAAGCCCTGTGGACTGAGGAGCACTAACTGGCTGATGCTGAAAGGCTTCAGCTGGAATAGGTAGCTACCACAGGGAAATACTTCCAGTCAGTGTTTTTCAGAAATGGGACTCTGTAATGGTGCTGTTGTTATTGACTGCTCAGAGAGAGAATGGATTTCCTCAGTTACACACAAAGCAGTTGTTTTCAAAATCCTGAAGGTTCCTGTATTAAGATTGAATTAAACCACACCCAAATTAAGAAACCACAGAAGCAGCTAGACTGTGTGTGACTTCACCTATTCATAAACAGCTTTTCCCAATTATTGCAGTGCAACATATCATCTTTATTAATTCTCTTTAGTTTTACCAGTGACTTACATAACAAAGTACTTCATAGGAAATCAATTCATACTCCTTCCTTATCAACCAAGGCATAATTCCCACACCACACTACATGATTTTTCTCATTTATATTAAATGAATGCCCTTCACTGCACAGTGTTTTGTAATAGTAGCTCCTATAGCTAAGATACGAGAATTTCCTTGTTACTCGAAATCTGTTTTTCTGTGTTTTACAGATTATAATGAAGTTTAAGTGCTTTTCTACTGCACATACAAGCATTTTAAAATTTGTGTGCAACTCTTACAAGAAGATTGAAATGCTTCACAGAAATGCTACTGCATTATAATAGCCAAACTGAAGAACATATCTATCAAAAATAAATAAATTGAGCAGAGAACATAAACTTACTTCACTGAGGGTCTAAGAATGGCACTGAAAAAGAGTGTTGCCCGTTCCAAAGATTTCAAAGAAGGAAGACAGCCCAGGGAGGAAGAGTCTAAGCAGGGGTAGAATCTCAGGAAGCAAGTGTAATTAATACCAATTCAATCAGGAAGAGGTGGAGGTCTTCTCCAGGAAAAAAGCAATCTCATACTCTGTCTCTGTTGTGCTCTGAAGAAGCCGATTCAACTCCTGCATTTCATAATGAAGTGGTTAGCCGTTGGCCGGGCTTTAGCACGTTTCCTCTGCTCTACTTCTGAGACCAGCAAGCAGGACACAGCTCATAGATTAGGAACCACTGCTTTTAATCTGAGTTTTTATTTCATTTTCAAGATAAGTGGCTGGAACAACAGCAGACTATGATGTCAGTTTAAGTATGCATATTAAAGAACTACTGTTATTAACATACAGAAGGACACTTTTCCAATATCACTACTATGCTGATACTTTATTAAGGAAGCAGAAATGGCCAGCTGGACAATAGTAATCCTGGCCACACTGAATATCCAGGTTTCTAAAGGAAAGAACAAAATTAGTGACATAGAAAGAGTTGTGGCACCCTCCTCATGGTTTCATGACAGATCAGAATGAGAGGACAGTACAGTGATAACACCACCTTTACCTGTCAAGCCCACCACCAACACCCATCAGTACAGGAATCACTGATCTCATCTTCTAAAGCAGAAATAAAAGCATTGTCTAGTAATCCTTAAAATTCCCAGGGGGAAACTGGTGAGGAAGGAAAAGAGTGTTTTTTCAGAAGATACACCACTGTGAAAATACTGGATCTCATTCTTGGATACAGTTCACAAACCTCCACTTCAGTCCTGCAAGGGACTGATGGATTACAGCTTCCGATGTCCCTTACACCAGGGACAAGCAAAAGAAATGTGGCTGAAGACATAAAAATCATACCACCTTGAACTCATTATCAGCATTGACAATCCTTAAAACCTTGTGAGGGAAGCCACATACAGTTACAGCTGAGGCAAGTTGTAAGAACAATAATGCACTTGACTCATTATAACCATTCCAGTTCATGGCAAGACACTTGAAACGTGATCATGAAGATCAGAGAACAATAGCTGTAACTCACAGAACAAAGACACACTAAGGGCTTCCTCATATCTCCCCTCGAGAAACCCTCAGTCCCAACCTGTCATACACCCTGCCATAGGCATGACAGCCCTGTCCATGTTAACACGCAACTATTACATCGTCATCTGGTTTCAACAGACTTCTGGTTACAACTAACTCATTGAAAAGGAATGCTACACGGCTACATAAGCCCTGCCCAAATGTACCACACAACATATTTTGCAGCACCTACTTGTAAAAGCCTACCTGTTATTCCAACTTTCTATATAGGTTTTGTCCTCAGTAGTACTATGTGGGTCTTTACGGTTAAGATTTAATCCTATTCTGGATGGCTTCTTTTAACTTAATTCTTTTAATTTAGCCATTTTTTAGGATCTGTGAAAGATTCCAGGCTGAAACAACACTCATTCACATGTATGTTGTTTTCACAGGCACACTTCAGAAAACACATTTCCTTTTAAACAGAGTTCTCAAATATTCAGTATCACTTTCTGTCCTTTAAATTTTCCTGTGTGACCTTCAAAATATTGAAGATGAAAGGCCAATTTGCAGATGGAGTTGGCAGCTGCACACTGGCTGAAACGGAGATACCCAAAAAAGTACAGCAAGAGATATAAAAAGAAAAATCATAAGTTTGTAACTGAAATGGGAAGAGATTAAAAGGCAGTGCTAACTGTGAAAAGAAACATTGCTTATCATGACATAACCTCTGCAGGAGGAATTCCAACACACATTGCTGTTTTGAAAACCCTCAAGTGGTCTAGCGATAGTAAGTTATTAATGGGGAATGCTGGAAATGTATCACCCCAAAATCATAGCTAATTTCAGATTAGGTACAGGAACTGCAGAGCTATTCACTTCATAAAGGAGAAGCCAAAAATGTTTAAGTCATGTTTCACATCTATTTGCATAGCTAACGTGTTACGGCTTTTAAATCAAGTTAAGCCTAGTGATGTCACATGAACCCATTCAGGAATCATCTGAACTCATGAAAAATTTCTGGTGCTTGAGTCTGCTCTCTCGTGTCAGTATAACTGACTCAGGCGCCTAAAAATCAAATGAGGTCATGCTAATTTGGTGCATTTTCTATACCTACATACATCTTGCTCCAGTCTCGGACACTCCCATTTTAGTTTCCACAGGCTTCGCCACAGATGCAATTAAGAAAAAAACGACATAAAAAATTACCTGCAAGGTCCCTTTGAAACATTCACCTTAACAAGGCAATGTAGATTAAAACTTTTATTCTCTCATTTGTGTGTATGTTTACGTAACGCTACAATAGATGCTGGTTAGCACAGATTTCCTCTGAACCATAGAGTATACCAGCTATTATATACACTGGTATATGTAAATCAACAGCAATTAAACTGCAAAGCAATTGACGTATCAAATGAAGGGGTATTCTTGGGGATTTAAGTTCACTCACTAGCCTGCCAAATTCAAGGACTTCGGCACAGCGAGGTTAGTTTCTGTTGTTTCTCTTCTGACTGTAGTTACACTATCCCATTTTGGCTTTAGAACCGTTCTTGGCATGAAAAAATTCCCAATCTGCACTTCTTGCCCTACTCCTGTCTCTTTACTGTCCTTAACTCTAGGTTCCTGAGCAAACAGCAAGATAAAAAGGAGTTATTTTTAACCACGATCAGCTCAACAATCCGGTCTGCAGCATTACTCCACAAACAATGGCATAGATAAAACCAGGGGAGTTGCATACTGAGCACAGCAGTGGAAACAAAGATCTGGGAGAAAAGCTTCATATGTCAAACACTGCCCACCTGAAGCACAAGCCCATAGTGTGATGAACACCTGGAACCAGCATCAACCAACCGAGTTAAAGGAGTAGCAGATCCACCTTCTCCCAACAACAAGTGCTCATTCCTGCCTGTGCACCGCCCTCGGCTTCACAGGTTCCCAAGCACTTGTGCAGCTGCGGAGTCAACTGGGTAAGTGGAACTTAACCTACCCTGGGTAAAAAAATAACCCAGCCAAAAAACCCCATGACATTTTACAGCTGCATGCAGCTTTCTGAAACACACCCTTCAGGGAGCTCTGACGAGGAAAGGAAGGGAGCAGCACAGGGGCAGAAGCAAGGCAGGAAGCATTGCTTCTTCCTGCAACCATGCCAGCCTAAGTCCAGGCTTAGGATGAAGTTCCACAGCAGCGTGTCTGGATCTAAACAGGAATTGCTACAGTCACAGGAGCAGGCCTGTTTTCTTGCATCAGCCCTGTCACTCAGGGAATTGCACAGTGAACCAGTCCCGAGAGCCACCTGGTCACTTTGTCCCACAGCAAATTAGTTTTCAGCTGGATCACCTTACTGAACTAGCTCACTGCGCCAGCACAGAGGTGCCAGTACCTGCACAAGGGGACAAGACAGATACTCCAGTTGAAGCAGGGAAGTAGAAAGTTGGGACCTGGACAACCCTGACAGCTCCCATGCTACAGAGCAGCAGGCTCAGTTGCGCTGCTGAACTGGCTTTACTCCCTGTGACTGTTTGTGCCTTCAAATCTGTCCCATCTTGACAGATGCTTTTAAATCCTTTCTAAATAAATGCCTTTTGCTAATAATTATTAAATGCTGAAGTACTACAAATACATAAAAGGGCTAACCAAAACACCTTTAACACGCAACTCCTCACAAGTTCTAAGTTACATGGCATTGACTTTTTAAATTATCCAATAACAGAGAAAGCAGATGAAAGAGCTACTTTCTCATTACATCGTGAATCTTTAATTTGAAATGTTTTGTTCTGTTTTGAAGTAAAGAAAAATAAAGCTCAGAGTAGACAAACAATTTTGTTCTGTTTTGAAGAAAAATAAAGCTCAGAGTAGACAAACAGGACTCCAGATGACTTTAGGAAGTAATTACCTTGTTTCTCAAAGGCCTGTATATCCCCAAGTCATTGGCTACCATCATTTGCTTCCCAGAGATGACATCAGTATAAGCAGGATCCAGACCTTATTATCCCTTAGTATCCTCTCCTTTGCAGCTAACAGCAGCCCAGACCAGTAGTCACTAATGCTCTGAACTATCATTCATTTTTTAGTGATACCACGTACTTCCTATGTGATTTGAGGCAAATCATAGAGTCACTTTGTTCCTCAGTTGCCAGCAGTATATTCTCCAACCCTCACAGTGGGGATAACGTGAATTCATCCACGAATATACAGGAGATCCTTACATGCTTCAGCTCCTCTGCTATCTGCACAACCAATGCTCAACACCCAAGCTGTGATCCCCTTCCCACATTGAACAGTACTTTGCAGCACCATTTATCCAGCTGATACCTGCTGCGACCGTGGCACAAAGAATGAACAAAAGTATCGCACAGGGAACAACAGACACTGAATTAATTAAGAATAAAGCACCCTGTTATCAGCCCACCACAATGAATCCACAATGCATTAAATACTAATAGAGGCCAAAGACCCAAAACCACCATCGTGCCCCAGCGTGCACGCACCGTGGTGACGCTGGCTCGGAGCCCGCAGCTGAATCGCGAACCGCGCTGCATACCTGCGGAGCCGACAGGCCCGACCCAGCAA